GGATAAAGAAAATATAATTTATATATGTATATATATAATGAAATATTATTTGCAAAAATGAAATTATGCCACCTGTAGGAAAATGGATAGACCTAGAGATACGCCAAGCACCAAAAACCAAATATTGCATGTTCTCACCTATTTGTGTAATGTATACCTAAAATGATAATAATTATGATAATGATGTGGCACTTGAATGTAAAAGGGGACTTTGGGGGCAGTGTTAAGGATGGGGGAGGGGAAGGAAAGGATACTAAGGGGGAAGAGGTAACAGATGCATATGAAGACAGCATAATGAAACCCACCAGACAGTGTTCGTAAAAGGGGGGAGGAGAAAAGGGGTAAATGGGAATATAATGGAAGGGAGTAAACTTGTACAAAGAATACTGTGTACATATGTGGAATTATCACAATGAAACCCACTTGTATTATTAATGTATACTAATTCAAAAATAAAATTTTTTAAAGAAGAAAAAAATCACAATTTTCTATAATAATCTTGGTTTCCTTAATGATTTTTTAAATTTTTGTAAATTCTCAGCTTATATGATAAGGAACATGTCCATGAGTTTATCTTCTTGCTACACTTTTGGGACTTAATATCCTAGGAATTCAGCTTTCTCTTTGGGCCTTTCTCATGTCTCTAAAGGAGGTCTATTATCCTTAAATGGTTCAGTTGGTAATACTCCCATAAATTCTTGAAGTTCATTATTTCAGTGCCATATATCAGCTAGAACACATCTTCATCACATGTCAAATCTTCTCAAAAAGCCCTGTGTTGGCCCTGTAAGAAACTCCTTCCACTGCTAAAGACCTCAGGCTATGAGTCTATGTTCATAACCACAGTAAGTTCCAGAACTTGTCAAGGTCACTTTGGCTAAATCTCAGAGCCTTTGATACTTTGCTCTAAACCTAAAACTGTTTTGGCAAAAGAGATTGACCATTCTCTCTATCTTATCAAGATAGAGAGGCTATATGTTCTCAGTCATATGTGAATCTAAAACAATTTAACTCAGAGAGGCCAAGAATAGAATGGTGTTTACCAGAGCCTGCAGGTTTGAGAGAATGGGTGATGACTGTCAAAGGGAACAAGGCTTTAGTTAGATGGGAGGAATATGTCTAATGTGTTTAGATCAATTACACAGAATCCTGAGTATAGCTAATAATTGAGCACTGTACAACTCTAGGTAAGAGAATAAATTTCTAATATCTTAAGCACAAAAATGTTAAATATTTGGGGTGATAGATACATTAAATAACTTCATCATCCCATATTTTATAAAATTATGACACCACTTTGTTCTCCACAATTATATACAACTATAAGTTATCAGTACATAATAAAATAAGTAAATGAATAGAATGTATATCTTAAAAAGAAAGGAAATAGGAATACATCAACTATAAAAGACTATGTGTGTGAGGATGTAAACTAAAAAAATGAAGCTTTCACAAAAACACCAGGCCTTGTACAATCAAACTGCTAACATACTTTCAAGCTGTCAAGATGGAGCTACTATAGAAAAAAACTACTGATACAGATAGTAACAAGCGTGAATTTCCAAACCATCAGAGTTTTCAAAAAAGCTACTGCATTCATTTAAATATAAATGCTTTTTTATACTTTATGCTTCATGCAAAGTAGGAAAAAATAAAGGTATAAGTTTAGAATAGAAATCAGATTGTTTCCAGTGTGTGTGTGTGTGTGTGTGTGTGTGTGTGTGTGTGTTTATGAAGATTACATGTTGTTTTAGGGAACTTACTGTTATATTAATTGGATTGATTATTACACGTGTTCAGACATTCACCAGACAGAACTATGTTTTATTTTATGTGAGGTGTACTTCAAAAGAGTTAATTAATTCATTTTCAAGTTAAAAAAAAGAAAAAGAGAACTAATATGTTGAATTTCTTTGGAATTTTTATCTGAAAGCCTAAAATAAAACTAACATCTCCAAGCCTGCTTATGCCTTTTACTCATTAAATTATGTTGGGATACATTTTGATGATTTTTTACTCTGTCAATTTACATTCATCATAAGCAAAGATGACATTGCATTATTAGAGTATATAGTTTATTTAAACAAAGCTGCAAGAAATACCTGAAAATAATATATCTAGTTGTTAATAAGTGTTTCTGGTTGGAGACATCAACAGGAAAAGTTGGTTTTCTTTTTTCTTTTTTAAAAAATTTTCTATTCATTTATTCACATGTGCATACATTGTTTGGGCCATTTCTCCCTCCTGCCCCCTGTCCCCTCCCTCTCCCTCCCACCCCCCCTTGCTTACAGGAAGAACATGTTCTGCCCTTATCTATAATTTTGTTGAAGAGAAGACATAAGCAATAATAAGAAAGACAAAGTGTTTTTGCTAGCTGAGTTAAGGATAGCTATACAGAGAGATTCCTAACATTGCTTCCATGTACAAGTTTGTTACAGCCCAAATTGATTCATCTCTACCAGAACCTTTTCACTGGTTCCTGATCCCCTTCTCATATTGACCTCTGTCACTTTAAGGTTTCTGTATTAGTTCCTCTGTAGTGGGGACATCAAATACTTTCCTGTTTTGGATTTCTTACCTATCCCCATACCTCCCGTATGTGCTCTCCCCTTAGCATGTGACCCAAGTCCTACAACATTGCTGTATTAACATCTAGTTTTTAATAAGTGTTTCTGGTTGGAGACATCAACAGGAAAAGTTGGTTTTCTTTTCATTTTTCCTCTATTTAGCAGAGGAGGTGGTGAATTCAAACATGATATATTTGATACATTTTAAGAATCTTTGTAAATGTGAGTGCCACAATGTACCCCCATCCAGTACAACAAGAAAGGAAGAAAAGAATAAACCTATAACTGATATAATTAAATTTCTAGTATCGTTTTCTAAGGATATCATTTTAAAACTTCAATATATAATTTTCCAGGGTGGCTTTCATGCTCATAAACCTGAAATAGCTTCCTTGATGGCAAAAATTGAGAATGAAATGTGTTGCAAAATCAGCAAATATTCAAAATGCATACAAATATGTGCATCTGAAGTGCAGGATACAAGGAATTTAAGGTGGAGAGCTGATGCTCAATTCAGTTTGAATCACACCTGAGAGTGCCTTTTGCACAGTAAAAGAATTTGTCTTTATTTGAATGAGAATGTGTAGGCATGAATTACTTTAAGCAAAGGAGCAGCAATTTTAGAAAGATTAGATTGTTGGCAGAAAGTAAGAAGTATGAAGAAATGAAAATCAATCATGACCAAGATCCTACAGAAGTTATAGTACTGAAAAGAGAGGGTGCAAATGAGTGAAGCAAAGGATAGAAACCAACAGGAACTTGTACCAGATCCTATACAATCATGGCTGCCTTTTGTGGAAAGAACAGCCTTGTGTGCTAGCTTCAGGCTAACCTGGTTGTGTCACCATAGAGAATAAAAAGTACATAACAGTGACAGAGTTTGAGGAAAGATCGTCTAATGTAATATGATCTGAGCATCCCATGGAAGTTTCTTCAATATTATGGATAAGTAACTGTTGTTTATTAAGTAAGACAGAATTGCTGTTTAGTAGTTGTAAAGTTTCCTATCAGAGGGTTAAATTCTAGTGATCTTTTACACAAAATTGTTCCTGCTATTAACAATACTATATTGTACACTTGAAAATTTAAGAGGTTATATTTCTTAGTAAATGTTCTGACCACAATAATAAAAAGTATTTTATTATTTTTATTTAAGTTTTGTCTTTTTTTTCTTATTTATTCATATGTGCATACATTGTTTAGGCCATTTCTCCCCGTACCCCTGCTCCCTCCCTCTCCCCCTGGCCCCGCCTTACATTTTGGCAGAATCTGTAATGCCCTTATCTCTAATTTTGTTGAAGAAAGAGTATAAACAATAATAAGAAAGACAAAGCATTTTTGCTAGTTGAGATAAGGATAGGTGTACAGGGAGAATACTAGCATTGCTTCCATGTGTAAATGTGTTACATTCTAAGTTGATTCATCTGTAACTGACCTTTTCTCTAGTTCCTGATCCCCTTCTCATATTGACCTCAAGTTTTGTCTTTTATTGTCTTTGTAGGTTCTCTAGCACTCAGCCAGGAAAAAATGTTAAGGTATGTTGCATTATATGATTGCTTAAGATGAAAATTTCATTGATCAAAATACATTATATGCATTTATGGAAAGACCACAAGTGAAGTCCCTTTGTACAATTAATATATGGTAATATGAAAACAGAAAAAAGGTGAAAAATCTAGCTGTGATCTTTTGACTTTTTGTGAAGCTATATTTCTGCAATCTCCTCAGAAGATCTTATAAGGAAAATGTGAAAGAAAATATATGTAGCTTCCAATCTTCAACATAGTTTGTTTCTGCAAATCTTTAAAAGCTCATGATAGCAGATTTCTGGCTGGCTATATACAACATTGATGGACATATGTACAAACTTACATGGTATGACTACAAAATTTGATCTCAGATAATTATATATTAAAAGTATGTTGTTATTAGTTAATAAACCACAGAGTTAAGCAATAATGAGAATAAAATAAACAATCACATTGACTAGATTCCACAAAATTTTTGAAGAAATGAAGAAATGTTCAGAAAAATTAGTGTTGTATTTATGTGGTGGTTCCAGTCTGGGACAATCAAGGACATACAAATGGAAATTTGAGAGTTGTGCTAAAAATTTCCTGGATAGTCAACATTGATAATTGTGATTTTTGTGTGGGTGTGGCTCTGGGGCTTAAATTCAAGGTCTCACACCTGATATCCACTGAGCTACACACTCAGCCCAGATAGTTGTGACTTTTAAGTTTACCTTCTACTACTAAAACCCTAAAATTTTCTTATAATTTGTTGAAAATTGCTATAAGCTATGAAATCAAACATTCTTTTTGGTATAGCACCAAACTATACACTATGAAGACAGTTTAAATATGATACTTAATGACTTTAAGGCTTACAGAATGCAACATTGAAAAACATTTTTTTGCCTCATAGGAAGCTATGTCTGCATCATTCAAAAGTTCTAATAGCTCCAAATTCCAGGTGACAGAATTCATTCTGATGGGATTCCCAGGCATCCACAGCTGGCAGCACTGGCTCTCCTTGCCACTGGCACTACTCTATCTCTTAGCAATAGGTGCAAATCTCCTCATCCTCATCACTCTCCTCCAGGATCCCACTCTGAGACAGCCCATGTACCTTTTCCTAGGCAGCCTCTCTGTGGTGGACATGGGCCTGTCCACTACCATCATGCCCAAGATCTTTGCCATCTTTTGGTTTGATGCCAAGGTCATTAGCCTTCCTGAATGTTTTGCTCAGATCTATGCCATTCACTGCTTTGTTGGCATGGAGTCTGGGATCTTCCTTTGCATGGCTTTTGATAGATATGTAGCTATTTGTCACCCTCTTCGGTACTCATCAATTGTCACCAATTCTTTAATCTTAAAAGCAACCCTGTTTATGGTGCTTAGAAATGGCTTGTTTGTCATTCCAGTGCCTGTTCTTGCAGCCCAGCGTAACTATTGTTCCAGAAATGAAATTGAACATTGTCTGTGTTCTAACCTTGGAGTCACAAGCCTGGCTTGTGATGACAGGAGGTCAAATAGCATTTGCCAATTGGTCCTGGCATGGGTTGGAATGGGAGGTGATCTAAGTCTTATTATATTGTCATATACCTTGATTCTGCGCTCTGTACTTAGGCTGAACTCTGCTGAAGCTGCATCCAAGGCTCTAAGCACTTGTACCTCCCACCTCATCCTCATCCTCTTCTTCTATACTATTGTTGTAGTGATTTCAGTAACTCATCTGGCAGAGATTAAAGCCACTTTTATTCCAGTTCTGCTCAACGTGCTGCACAACATCATCCCTCCTTCTCTCAACCCCATGGTGTATGCACTGAGGACCGAAGAACTTAGGAAAGGCTTCAAAAGGGTGTTTTGTTTGAGCATACAAAAGAAATAAGATACCAGAATCTTTCTTCATGATGTACGAGAACTTCAGCTTCTTCTAAACTACGTAGAATTCTAAGGATGGGGGAGTAAGTAAATGCCTTTGAGATTCTCCTTTCATATTTTTTATGTAAACAATTGTGATAATGTCTGAAAGGAAAAAAATCCTTCAGAGTAATTGCAAAATCAGTAAAGTTAAGTATATAAATATATTTAAGAATATGGAAGGACTTCTAAACCAATCAAAGTGTCTAAAGCAAAATTAATTATTATAACTCATTGCCTAAAATAAAAAAAAAACAAAATAATCATAAGCACTCAACCTAAGAAACAAGTGATTAGGACATGAATTACAAGTCATGCTTGCACATTATTGGTTGTACCTTGGGAGCAAAGTCAATCTGACTGAATAAGAATCATCCTAGTGATATGTAATGCACAGACAGAAATACAAAATGCTTCAAATAGTAAAGCCAAACCAAATTGTGGATTTGTAAGTAGCATATGAGGAGATGACCCAGCTCAACAAGAAGAACCCAAAAGACTATATGTATATATGGCTTTGATTCTTTTTCCATTTGCTTCTCTAGATTTGCTTTGTTCTTTCTGCATAGCAGGTATCATGGAGAGCTGGGCTTCATATGCTGTAATCAAACTTCTTTGACATTCAGATGGATTGAACCAATGGCACACAGTGGCAAGATTATAGTGCAAGTGTAGAGTTACTCATTCTTCCACTCCAGCCTTCCAGGATATCAGGGTTCTAGTTGGAAGCATCACTTATGGAGCTTGTGAGGTAGTGGATCTACTACATCCACATCACTTACGTCTCTTCAGTGACACTTTTTTTCTTCTCTTTACTTCCAGGGAAAAGAAGTGATAAAGGATTTTTGATACTAGTTAAAAATCCATTTCTGATACTAGTCTAGCATCCATTATTTTTTCAAATATCAAGTTTTGTTTCATTAACTCCTCTACCTCTCAATTACTAGCAAGTTTATTAAATTCTCTTTGGATTCAGATTAGTGTGTGCCTTTTGTTTCTTACCAAGACCCCAATAAACTCATCAACTTTATTTATACCACCATGATCTCTACTATAATTATGTCTCACCTACTAGACCCACAGAAGAATGTAGGCAGTGTGAGCAGGTAAGAAGGTCTTTAGTTGAAGAGAAATAAAGACATCTTTTTTTTTTTTAAGATTGAGCAACATTATTGTTGTTGTTATTGGCAACACTATTACATTCTGAATGATACACTTTAGGTTTTAAAGTATAAATGAAGGGAAGAAAAATTATAGAGCAAAATCTTTAAGAACATTTAAAGTTTGCATAATTAGGAGATAAGTGGTAAGCTCATTATGATAAGAGGAAAGATATGAGGGGAAGATGGAAATAAAATGATGGCAGTGTGTATCTTAGAATCTGGCTCCATCCATCACTGACTTCATCCATCACTGGCATCACTTTTCCTAGGAGCAGTAACAGAAGTCAGGGACTCATATCCTTGGCTTAGCTATTTTATTTTACTGAGAGAGACACATTTAATCAGCAAGAATATCCTTCTGGCTGTTGTTCTGACAAAAACAAAACTGTGGTTGATCTTTCACATCTTTGGAGCCCAAACACACATGTATTAAGTGAACCTTTAACTTGAGAGAGGCCTACCTTGTAGGTTTGTTTTCTAAGAGAAAACTATTTTAGAAGAAGCTTATCATATGTGAGTTAAAGAATGCCTCAACTTAAAAAAAATCCTTAAATTTAGATACTACAAATGAAACTATAATATTTTGTATCTTCTGTGTCATTTTAATGGGTATTCCTATAGGAAAAGAAGGTGAGCCTTTGAAACAGAAGGGATGTAGGGCTAAAAGACAAGCAGGAGATCAAAAATATTTAATTTTTAGAATTCCAAGACAAAAAAACAAGGTCACTGAAAAAAAAAATGAGGTGCTTGTATTTGACCATGTTTGAAGACCGTGGAGATGGATGGATTTGGCAAATGAAGATAAATTTTTGGTGAGGGTACAGAATTAAAAAATACAGAAATCACTCTATAAGAACTTAATAATCTGTACATGATCACCCAGAAATGGCTAAACTAATTGGGACATAGACCAAGTTGCTCTAGAAGAGAGACTAAAAACCATGGAAGCATCAACTAAACAGCCATCTTTTATTCTCATGGAACCATACTTAGTTAGTAAGGTAATCCAGGGTCAGCAGGTGGTCCTGGGGTCTACTGTATTGTTCTGCTGTGCACTGGAGAATAGTCCTTGCCCATGTGAGAAAAGCAATCTGGTTCTTCCCCTTTATCATTCCAACCTATATGTATATATGTATATATATATATATATATATATATGTATATATATATATATATATATATGTATATATATATATATATATATATATATAGAGAGAGAGAGAGAGAGAGAGAGAGAGAGCAAAGGGTGCAAAAGGTGTCAGACTCCTGCTCACACAGCAAGAGCTAGAACTCAGTCACATAGCCATACCCAGTTGCAAGGCAAACAGGGAAATGTGGGTGCTGTGACCTCTTTTAAACTTTGTGGCAGAAGATAGGAAGTCTCAGGTCCAGCAGTCATTTACTTTTGATCAAATATCTTTATCTCAATTGCAAACAGGATCTAATGAAGCATATTATTCCATTTTAGAGTAGCTTTGATATACCAAAACTTCTTGCTTATATTAGGCACAAATCTCTTTTTCTGCACCTTCCGCCTCCAATGCCACACTGATCAAGTTTAATTTCCCTTCTTTGTGACAGCATCCCTGGCTTCAAGGCTAGCTGGCTGTCTGCATGAGGTTGTCTCCTCTAGGCTAGACATGCTGAGTACTAAATGCACTAGCGTGGGCACAGTCTTTATCATTGCTATCACATTTTTCATAGGCATGCAAGTCCACATCTCTTGTGTGATGCAGCCTCCCCAAATGTACATATTCTCCAAGTTTATTTGTTGCAGAGGACATAGAAGGAAGCTATATTTCCCTGGTTAAGGACACTCAACTTTTGCTAATGACATAACATCAGATTTGTGCCTAAAATGCTTGTTACCCTGTTTGGAGAAATAAAAGTAACATAGGACTTAGAATCAAATGGCCCAGAGTTCAAGGCACAGCCTGGCCCCTTTTTAGCCACATGATCTAGGCTAGGTCACTGGAAAACCCTAGATGCAAAATTTTCATTCCAGTGAAAGACCTTACCCAGAGTTTTTTTCTTCACTTTTTCGTAATCTTAAAACCAATGAAGAGCAGAAAGAGCCATAACTTATTAGGATGTGTATTTCAAACTGGTCCATATTGCTTCCTCTTGAAACCATGCTCAGAGAGTATCTCTTAAAATATGAATATTGATTTTGGGTTTAGTACTACTACACATTGTGTATTGTCACTCACTGATTTGAATCTGAAATGTCACCTGAAAGTTCATTTGTTGGAGACTGTTGCCAGCTGATGAGCTTTTAGAAATGATTAGCTTATGAGGGCATTGACCTAGTCAATAGATTAATGAATTGATGGATTCACAATATGATGGCATTGTTAGGAACTAGTGGAAACTAAGAGGTATAGTCTGTTTGGAGGTAACATGTCACAAGGGCTCCTCTCTCTCTCTCTCTCTCTCTCTCTCCTCTCACTGCTATAAGACAAGCAGCTTTCCTCTATCATGCCCTTCTGTTTTGATGTTTCTGCCTTGCCACAGGCCTACAAGAAAAAAAGCCAGCGGACTGTGAGCAAATCCTCTATAACAATGAGCCAAAATAAATCTTAACTCCCTTAACTTGTTTTCAAGGGTATTTTGTCACAGTGATGAAAGACTAACACATTCATGCTGTAGTTAGATACAAAGATAGTTTCATTAAGGTCTCACATATAATGAAATTAATATGAAGTGTTCATTATTAGCCTGACTTCACACACTAATTTGAATTGATTTATTTTCATTTAAAGACATAAAGAAAACAGACGAAATGTTCTGTAGATTCATCAAACTACTTTCTTTAATAAAAAGTAATTTTAGGATATTAAGATAACTTATGAAAATATATTTGATGTTTACAGTTTCTATGAAATAAGCATTACCATGATAAATGGAGAGCTAATGAAACATAGCAGAGATGGTATATTATTCCAGCAGAAACAACACACACATTAGAGTCTGGCAGAATTGAAATTGTCAAGAACATATGGAGGAGACTTTTCATTAAAAAAAGTGCAAAGCAGAAATAAAGTGAAGAAAAGGCAATGGTGAGGAGAAGTAAGGAGTACAGACTATGGATTTACACAGTGCACATGATGTCACAAAAAGAAAATCAAGCAAAGTATTCATTAGAGATTTAATTGAAGAGCATTTATTCCATACAACTGTGCAGCCTTGAGTGTGGAAATCAAGAGATTTCTTCTGGTATAAAGCATACCATGTCACTTAAACCAACATCAGTTGAAAGTCACAGCTTAATAGAAAGATAGGGAAGCTTATCATAAAAGTCAGGGAAAAACATGAAATTCATCTACTTGATTCAGAAATTTGAATTCTGTAAGAATTAAATATGTCCTGTCCCACTGAGCTACATGGTCTCTTTTCTTTTTTGTGTGTGGTGTGTGTGCATGCATGTATCTGCATGTGTTGGTGTCTACGTGTTTGTGTGATTATCTGTGTGTGTGTTTGTGTGTCTATGTGTGTTTGTGTGTATGAGAAAGGTGGGAGGAAGAGAAGAGAACTGGACTTCTTTTCTCTTCATGGAAGACCAGGTCCTCTCTCCCTGCAGTGGCAGGGTTCAGATTCAGATTTTCTAGGGTTTCACACATCTTCATATTGAAGGGTGCCCCCTAGCTCCCACCCACTGCATGTCAGAGCCTGGAGAGCCAAGGGTTATCCTTTCTCCTTTCTAGTTCTCTTTGCTTTAATTTGCAATACAAAACCAATCCTTGCTGGTATTTATACACAATGGAATTTTATGCAGCCATGAAGAATAATGAAATGTTATAATTCGCAGGTAAATGGATGGAATTAGAGAACATCATTCTGAGTGAGGTTAGCCTGGCACAAAAGACCAAAAATCGTATGTTCTCCCTCATATGTGGACATTAGATCAAGGGCAAACACAACAAGGGGATTGGACTTTGAGCACAATGATAAAGCAAGAGCACACAAGGAAGGTATAAGGATAGGTAAGACACCCAAAAAACTAGATAGCATTTGTTGCCCTCAATGCAGAGAAACTAAAGCAGATACTTTAAAGCAACTGAGGCCAATAGGAGAAGGGGAACAGGAACTAGAGAAAAGATTAGTTCGAGAAGAATTAACTTAGAAGGTAACACCCACGCACAGGAAATCAATGTGAGTCAATGCCCTGTGTAGCTATCCTTATCTCAATCAGCAAAAACACTTGTTCCTTCCTATTATTGCTTATACTCTCTCTTCAACAAAATTAGAGATAAGGGCAGAATAGTTTCTGCCGGGTAGCAAAGGATAACGGGGGTAAGGGACGGAGAGGGGCCAGGGAGTTGGTGGGGGAAGGAGGGAGAAATGACCCAAACATTGTATGCACATATAAATAAAATAAAAATTAAAAAATAAAAAAAACAACCCTTGCTAAACTTCAAAATAAGTTGAAGGGTCTTCTAAAAAATTCAAATTTAACTATCTTTATTTAGAATGAAGAAAGAACACAATTTTTGAAACTGACAATTCACAGATGTCACAGAGCCCTAAAAACAATGACAAAATATTCTAAAAATTTGCTGCCTACTAAATGTCTGTAACAAAGTTTAAAGTAAATTTTAATTCTGGTGGAATTTTAGGTTTACAAAATGTAGCAAAATCAGACAAGAAATTCTGCACATTCATTACAGAGATTTAGCAAATATTTACATTTTGTCCCATTTATTTTATAAATTTTCTCATTGTCTTTCCATATGTGTGTATGTTCTATCTACATTCTATCTTTCTGAGCTATTCGAATGTAAGTCATGAACACTGTGCCTATTTACTCTTAAATATTTCACAGTTCATTTCCCAAAAATGAAGACAGTGATTTATATAATCATAAAACAGTAAACAAAATTACAGATGTGACAGCAAACATTAACTTCATCCACAGACCATGCTCACATTTTCAGACGTTTCTATTGAAATATCTATTGTGACATCTGTGTCCACGCTAGAGATTCAGTCAGGGTCAGACATATCATTTGATTTTTCACATATTTGTTACAATATGAGCGATTTCCTTGTACATTGATATTGATTTTTTCCAGCATTATTAAAGTATAAAAATAAAAATTGTGTATATTTTAGCTATACAATATGATGTTCTGATATACCAGTGTACTGTGTGTGACCTGAGCACCCACACCATGCTATTTAACATATCCATCACCTTCTCCAGACACCACTCACTCTTCTGTAGCATATATAAAACATTAAAATCAGCTCATATTCTTTATAATGAGGTCACATAATACCATAAGGTGTCATAAAGAGAAACAATAAAAGCATAATCCATCATGATGCATTAAAACTAGTAATATAAAATTTTCAGATAAGCTAATATGAGGTGGTACATGCTTGTAATCCCAGCTTCTTGGAAGACTGAGATTTGGAGTACAGAATTTTGAGGCCGGTTTGAGCAAAAAAGTTAGTGAGATTTCCCATCTCAACAAATAAACCAGGTATGGTGCATGCCTGTAATCCTTGCTACACAAGAGGAATAGGTACGTGGACCATAGTCTGAGGCTGATTCAAGGCAAAAAGGCGAGACACTATCCAAAAAATAACTAAAGCAAAAAGGTCGAAAGTGTGACTCAAGGGATAGAGCTCCTGCCTCCTGCCTTGCAAGTGTGAGGCCCTGAGTTCAAACTCCTGTTCTCTTCCCACACACTAAATAAAAAAATAGCATTTTTGGTAACTAAGGATAGCATAGTTAGATGACAATTAGCTACAATCTGTCAGCAGATTGGCACAAAAATATTTGCATGAAGGAATGGAAACTAATACAAAATAGGAATTTATTTTGAGAAAATAGATCAGAAATGTCCTAAGAGTTTCATATCTGTTCTTATTTATCCCAGAATTTCTTTTAAACATATCTAGATGTATAATAATAGGCTATGTTCAAACAAATTATACATATTTACCATGTTCCTTTATTCAATCACAATGGAATGGGCTAACATTATATTAAAATTCTAATATTTATGTTGCAATATAGGATGATCATTTTTTGTTAAAACTTATAATAACTGCATACCAATACATTTACATGTATATTTAATCATGGTAGAAATATACCATGGGTTTGCACTAGGTTGTAGAACTATAGGTGCCTTCTGATTTTCTTTAAAACACAGATTATAATGTGTATTTGATATGTTAAGATATGTCTTTATTGACCAGAGCATTGGGGAGTTTTAGAGCATGCTCATGTTTGTTGGAATGTGTGTAAATTAGAAAGAGGCAATGTAAATACTAGTAAGTAAATAGCTGAGTGTGTCTAATAGTGAATCTGGGTGTCTCAGGATGTCTATGGCGAGGCATGAGGTGGGCATTTTATGCAGCTGTTTACAATTCTTATCAACAAGAGTTGATCTAGTGCACATGGGTGATGACATCAAGGATAACAAGTCTAAGAGTGAGATTCTCCTGGGAACAATTTCCGTATGGCTCAGCTCCATATTCATTATTGCCATCCTTTCAATTATTTCAACTTTCTCTCTTCCCTCTCATACAAATGATTGTGGGATATATAGGTATATATAAATTTATGTCAGAGAAAATGGGCAGATGCTGCTCTGCTGGCTGGACTCACAACAGTACATACAGCTACAGGGAAAAGAAGAGTCTTCCATCCAGTGAGTGCTCCCTTTTTCACATCGCATGCTTGGATTCTTTATCAGGACCTTATCTCTAATTTTAACATTTTTACTGAAATTCCAGGCAAACTCCAAACCTCACATCTTATCTCCTAACAATCCAAATTAACCTTTTTCCAAAACCCAGTATATCAGAGAAATTGTACCATGTTCTCATCTGAATCAAACCTTAATACCAAACCACACACTATTAGGTTAAGAGGCTGATGCATCAAAGTAAATTTTGTCTTGAGGGTATATCATTCTTCTTACATTAACTACAGTTATACTCCTATACTTGGCTCGTGAATGTACAACTGAAGAAAAATCAAAGAAGAAATGAGGTGAAATTATCCAATAACATGATCTTCAATTTGAATTGGATTTCCAATATTGAATATTAGTGAGATTATTACTGTGGTTACATCAATGCTGACGTATTTGTTATACTATGTGTATGTGTTGTGTGTTGTGTTTATAAATAAGTGTTCAGGAGAGTGTAAGAAAGGGGGAATACTTGAAACATATTTTATACCACCAATGAGTAGCCATGTATTGTGATAGTGTTATCTGTGACCAAGGGAGTATAAAACAGTTACCGTGTATCTACATCACACCAGTGGATATGAAGTAAGACCTGTGAATACCTGGATGTGTGTGTATGTATGAAAGTGTAAGATGTGTATGCACCTTAGAGGGTCCATGTATATGCATTGTCACATATGCTATGCCTCCACCTTCCTGACCTTTCTTCTTAGAGTGATTTCATGTAGGAAACATTGAAACACACCTCCAAGGAAAAATTAGAAAATGACTCTTGAGTGGCAGTGGGATATTACTTTCCTTGGAGGATGAATTTTCAAGGTTGCTTTCCAGGGCTGGTGGAGTAGCTTAAGTGGTAGAGTGCCTGCCTAGCAAGCATGAGGCTCTGAGTCAAAACCCCAGTACCATCTAAATAGATAAATAAATAAGAACTCATCTAAAAAACAGTTGCATTCCAGACTAGACGATCTGGGGCTTAGATGAAGTATTACTCTTCTGGATTATCTAGATTTGCACACCATGTGTTAAGTCCAGTTTGATGATCCTAACTTTTGGAAAAGATCTTAATATCTCTTGGTACTGACAGAATTTCAACATTTTCAGGAATCACCAATATTCTTATAGTAAAAATTATATTTTAAAATTAAATCTGGACAGTCTGGACTTAAAAAGACTTTTTAGTGACATTGACTTTAACCTGAGATTGGAAAGAAAAGAGATTATAGAAGATAAGGAACTTGAAATCCTCTGGTATAAGGAGTGCTTTGGTTCTGAATTGGGAGAGGGAAACCAAAGAAATAGATCTTTTCTTATAGCCCACAGGCTTTAAGGATTGTGACCTTTGTGTTTCCCAGCCCCTTGCATTTACCAGCAGTGATAGGAATAAAAAATAAATGGTTCTCATAGGTTGAAAAAAAACAGTTTATATCTTTGAGCAGACATAGATGAAAGTAAGCAGAACACGTGACTTACAAGCTGGATACAGTAAGACAACTCGGAGAGTTCATAGATCTTTGTAATAATGGGAGGCACAGATGAATGATAACTGCTTAATGCTCTAAAGAGAGAGATTAGATGATACATGAGAGACTTAATATGATGTTGGGCAGAGGCCATGCATAAAACTGTATATTTGTCTTCTTCACAGGGTTGTGGCTGGAGAATCTAAGCAGGAGAACTAGAATGGGAGCTGAACCTCACAACAACTCAGGGTTGCCTTCTTTCACCTTGATAGGACTCCCAGGGCTGGAGACCTCCCAGCACTGGATGTTTCTGCTCCTTGGTGCCCTCTATGTTGTCGCTATTGCAGGCAATGCTCTTATCCTTCTCATTATCAAGGAGGAGCAAAGTTTGCACCAGCCTATGTATTACTTCCTGTCCCTGCTCTCAGTTAATGACTTAGGTGTGTCTTTCTCCACACTGCCCACCGTAATGGTCACATTTTGCTTCCATTTAAGGGATATCAGTTTTAATCCTTGCATGGCCCAAATGTTCTTTATTCATCTTTTCTCCTTCTTGGAGTCTGAGGTCCTCCTGGTCATGAGTTTTGATTGCTATGTGGCCATCTGTAATCCACTGCGCTATGCCACAGTACTCACTGATACCCGTGTGGTCCAGATGGGCATGACTGTTTTTATCCGCAGTTTTTGCATGGTTTTGCCATTACCTTTCCTTCTGAAGAGGTTATCCTTCTGCAAGACCAATGTGCTCTCCCATTCCTACTGCCTGCACCCAGACCTGATCCGCCTGCCCTGTGGTGACATCACCATTAACAATATCTTTGGTCTGTTTATTGTCATCTCTACCTTCGGCTTGGATTCTGCTCTCATTCTCCTCTCTTATGTGCTCATACTTCATTCTGTACTTGCTATTGCCTCCCGGGAGGAACGCTTAAAGACACTCAATACCTGTGTGTCACACCTGTGTGCTGTGCTCATCTTCTACGTGCCCATGGTTGGTGTGTCCATGGCTGCTCTCTATGGGAGGCATGCCCCACAGTACATACACACACTCCTCTCCCTTATTTATCTATTTGTACCTCCAATGCTGAATCCCATCATCTACTCCATCAAAACCAAAGAGATTCATCAGAGGCTTTGCAAAACACCGCTGGGAACCAAGTTCTGAGTAAGAGATACCGGTAGAATCAGGATGCGTAACCTATCTTCACAAATTTCACAAATTGTGTCTTTAAGAGTTGGTTTGACAATGAATTTTTAATATTCTGTTGGTCACTGGCCTTCCCAGTAGGATTCTTTTCTTTTTTATTTTCCATTCTTTTATCATTCTTATATTTACTTACATGGGTATACATTGTTTGGCCCATCTCCCCTCTCCTCCTGCCCACTTACCCCTCCCCACTTCCAGGCAGAACCTGTTCCGCTCTCTTGTCCTCTGATTTTGTTGAAGAGAAAACATAGGAGATAATGAGAAAGACATAGTGTTTTTGTTAGTTTGAGATAAAGATAACTATACAGAGAAAGTCCTAGCGTTGCTTCCGTGCACTTGTGTATTGCAACCCACACTGGTTTATCTCTGACAGACCTCTTCATTACTTCCTGGTCCCCTTCCCACAGTGGCCTCTGTTAGTTTAACATTACTATATTTGCTCCTCTACAGTGGGCACATCTACCACATTCAAGTTTTAGGTTTCCTTCTCTTTCCCTATTCCTCTCATGCACATTTTCCCCTTAGTGTCCAATAACATTATTGCATTTGTTTTATGTCTATAATTCACATAAGAGGGAGAACAAAGATTTTTGGCCATCCAAGCCTGGCTAACTTCCCTTGCAATGATAAAATTTCATTCTTCATTGTGACTGAGTAAAATTCTATTGTGTATAAATACCACATTTTCTTAATCCATTGGTCAGTAGTGGGGCATCTTGGCTGTTTCCATAACCTGGCTGTTGTACATAGTGCTGCAATAAACATGTGTATGCAGCTGCCTTTGGAATAACCTGAGCCACATTCCTTTGGGTGTATCCCTAGGAGTCTGGACCATATGCAGATGTATGTTTAGTTTCTTAAGATGCTTCCATATTGTTTTCCAAAGTGATTATATTAGCTTACATTCCCACCAGCAGTATATGAAGGCTCTTTTTCTCCACATCCTCACCAACATTTGTTGTTGGTGGTATTCTTGATGCTAGCTATTCTAACAGGAGTAAGGTGGAATCTTAGTGTGGTTTTGATTTGCATTTTCTTTATGGCCAGGGATTGTGAGCATTTTTTATGCATTTCTTGGTCATTTGGACTTCTTCCTTTGAAAAAGTTCTGTTTCGTTCAGTTGCCCACTTTATTGGTTCATTGATTTTGGGGGAGTTTAGTTTTTTGAGCTCCCTGTGTATTCTGGTTATCAGTCCTTTGTCTGATGTTTAGCTAGGAAATATTTTCTCCCACTCTGTGGGTGGTCTCTTCAATTTAAAGGCCATTTCTTTTGTTGTGCAGGATTTTTTTCTTTTCATGTAGTTCCATTTATCCATCCTTTCTCTTAGTTGCTGGGCTGCTGGAGTTCTACTGAGGATGTCCTTGCCTATACCTATTGCTTCCAGGATATTCCTTGCTCTTTCATGTACTAACTGCATGTTTTCAGGTCTGATATTAAGATCACAAATCCACTTTGAGTTGATAGTAGTAGAGGGTAACAGGCATGGTCCAGTAGGATTCTTGCCATCAGCTGTTGATATCATAGAAATAGTTAGAATTGCAGTTAATAGATTTTGGCAAAGTAAAAAGGGGGCCATATTTTAGCAAAAATTATGTTCTTGGTTTCCTTTTAAAATTCAAATATATATGTTCTCTTATCTATTCCCTCATTTTGACAATGTATGCTCCTATTAGCCATCTTACCTTAAATTTTTTGTGCACAGTTTTAATTTCTTCCTTTAAAAAGTTTTTATTTTTGTTGTCATATTTTTGATGCACTGAGGGTACATTATCATCTTTACTAAAGTGCTTGCAATGCATCCTAAATTCACCCCCTCTATCATTCTTCTTTCTGCCCCTTCCCTCCTTCTTAGAATACTTTCAAGTCTCATTTTTCCATTTTCAAACATGAATATATTTCTACCATATTCACTCTCCTTTGCCTTTTCCTTAAGTCCTCCCCACTCTCACTGCTACTAACCCCAGACAGAGTCTGTTTTGCCTTCGTTTTTCTTTAAAGTGGTACATCATGCAAGTCATTACTTATGACTATGGAAATGCAGTCATAATGGGGGTTGGATATTTTTCTAGCAACTATTATGTCTAGTAGGTAATTTTCATGAAAAACACATATTCACATATGCATAGTAGCCATTCATGCCGGTATTTATTTTCATTTCCACCAGCTATCCACTTGGCAATAAAACAAAAGCAAATGAATTGTGTTATGTGATCTTATTTATGCAATATTGAAACTTTGTACATTTTGTGTTTTTATTTAAATTTTATGTAAATATATATATAGCAATAAACAAATAATAAAGTAGGAAGACTTGTTAGTAAAACATGACGTACAATGATTTGTTCTGTCTAAATTTATGGTCTTATAAATTTGTGATATCTTTTTTTAGAAAAATAAGAGCTTCAAAAATTAAGAATTAAATTTGAGAAACTATAATAGAATAAAATACTATATAATACATATGAAAAACTTAAAAGAAGTAAATTAGTAGGAATGGAAAGAGGGAATATAATGTAATACTGATATTTGACAAGTTTGCACAATAAACCAAGTTTTGTAAAGTGAAATAAAATGGAAAACAGAAAACTTGAATATTATGTATCATCCTGGTTGGAAATATTTTTTAAGATTGCAGTAAGATGCTTGTAAATAAATTTAAGTCTTTTAAAAATTTGTGTTTTGAGGCAGTAATAAAATGTGAGCACATGAAAAATTGAATGATAATTGAGGAAGAACTAAAAATTAATTATACTGTAACCTACATTTAAAACACTATAGTCAGTTTCTTTATCTTACATTTATACCAAGAAACTATTCCTGTTTTATTTGCTAAATTATACAAACTTTGAAAGTGATGCTAAATATAATCCTGATGAACTATATGAAAAAATTATGTCAGTGAAAATCCTGTAGACTGAACACACTAATGAAAATATAGGAGAAAATAGTGTAAATTATGAATACAAAAATGTATTCATATACATATGAGTGAAACTATAATCTACTCATGTTTTAGAATTAAAAGAGTTACTTTTTAGAACTCAAGGTAATTCATCATATTATATGAGTTAAATAATGATGCATGCATGTAAGCAAGAGTAGATTTCAAAAAATATTTTAAAAGTCATTCATAAAAAAACACAATTTTTGTTAATTTTCTGAATTTATTAAATCATATACTTGATGGTTAAAACAAGAGGAAAACGATTTCTTCATCTTTTAAACATTTTATTTACATATTTTTGATGGAATCATTGACTAATGTCATAAAACTTAAGTAGGAGTTATTTTACCAATCCCTGTATCTGTAATTGTATTTAGTCCTTCCCTCTATATCAACACTATGGCTACCATTGGACAGAATTTGTAGATGCTGATTTTGTGGGAATAAAAATATGTCATTTAAAAATATCTATACATTTTTCTAGAAGTATTTAGAAGGATTAACAGAAATTTTATTCTTTACTTCTTTCTAATGAGATATGTAAAGACACATTTTCTACTTATCTGTGTTTTCTACTCTTGAATAATGCATATACATTACGTTTGAAATAAAGAGGGAGGGGAGAGAGAGAAATTAAGGCAACTGAGAGCAAACTGAAGGCTTTGAGGATATGAGCTTCAAGGGAGGGGTTGAGTATTGGTGCCCTGCTGGATTTCCACCTAGATGCTTTCCAAGTGCATTTCTCCTCCCATCTCCAGGGACAAACATTTCGTTTCCTTAGTAGAGTCATTCTATTCCAGATGTGTCCATGGACTGTGGAGGGTCCACCTGTTGTCATCTTGTGTGGTCTCTGATCAGAAGACACCCTGAAAAAAATCTTTTTGGGGGGTACTAAGGGAGGGAATTATGTCTTTGATATCTGCTTCAGACCCGACAAAGATCTGAAGTACCTAACAGGTACATGCCCCTCCTACTGCTATCCCTTGGAATTCATTCAGTCATCAGATGGTATCTATTGTTGAGATCTTTGTGCATTTCCATCAAGGTTCTTCATGAGACTCTCACCCATCTGCAGAGATGGCTGTGTTGCCTCAATATCTGACTCTTTCGTGCTGGAAGAGATAAATCAGGTTAACAAGTTTTGCAGGCATGGCCAGAACATGAACAGTAGTAAAAGCATCAGAAGGGGCTTTGCCAGGTGCAGTAGCCAGGATGTACAATTTTAAGTCTTAAAAAGATATTTCCCAGGATTCTGATGATTATCATCAGATTTGAGAAGTTCTTTTAGCTGTCAGAAGATCTAATTTTTCATTTTGAAAAGTGAGAACCATCAGATAATCTATTGGTTACTTCTCCTACAGGTATTTATGCCTGTAACTATCCCTAACCCACTTAGGAGGGGAGTAGCTGAATGGCCCTTTTTTATTGGACTGCTGCTATAAGTGCAGGCAGTTAAGGACTGTTGTTTGGGCAATATCTATGTTAGAGGCCAGATGTACTGGAGTTAGGTGCCAGTCTAATTTGAGGGAATACAAGAGGGCTAAACAACTCTATGAGCATCAGCCATTAAAAGGACATATCTGGAGCCAGTAGCAATGGTCATAATGCCTCTGCTTAAGCAGAAGGCCCTGGCCAAACACATGAGTTTGCCTTTTGCCAGGAGTCTGGTAGACTTTAATACAAGATATCACATGCATAAAAACCCCCTCTTCATACCTCTCAGCTTTGGCTACTTCTAGATGTGTGGCATAATTGATTCCATCTAAATCTGGAGGAAGTCCCGCTAGTTTGTGTAGTCCTTTCAAACTGTAGTCCTTTAAAACCATTTCTCTGAACAGTGGCCATCTCAATCATGCACATATAAACTTAAAAGCTTTAAGATTTTAATTTGTATTTTGAAACAACCTCAAATTTAGAAAACATTTTTAACAAAATACTCTTAGTAACCTTATAGCTTAAAAGAAGATCCAGGAAGAAAATCAATCTTAACCTACCATTTTTGTATAATACCAG